GTAGGCAAAGCTTCTAGAGAATCAGAAGCCTGGTGTTGCTACGCGTGTCTCAGAACTCTTTGGATTACAGTAATGGGGTACTTGGTACCCAGTTGTGGGTGCAGCACCTTGCAGATCCCCAGGCAGAGTTAACATTACCTTGGGTCATCTTCGGGAAAACAGAGTAGGGTGGTGGTGTTAGAGCGTTGTGGACCAGCCAGGTTACCCACCAGTGAAGGCGAGAGGCAGTCTCTGTATGTCAGACGCATTACCAGGGAAGGACCAATGTGTGGCTGGATTTCATAGCACTCTGTTACCCCCACCTCTACAGATTGATGACAGGAATTGAGTTAGTGGAGGTCTGTGGGGCAGCCGAGTCTTCAATGGAATGCCATGTCGGGCTTTTCTATTTCTTTGGTTGGAATTAAGTTTTTATACATTGTTTGATTAAAACAACCAAAACCAAAACCAAAACAAAACTGCAAGATCTCTTGCACAGAGGACCAAAAGAATGGCTTCTAAGCAAAAACATGCCGAACACATGAAGACCAACCACACTGGGTCAGTAGGTGGCAAAGTACTTTGCTATAAATATGCAAGGCTCCTCTTTCTCTACTTAAAAGAAAAATCGCTTTGCATTTCAGACAACAGAAATGGCTGGACAAGCCTTTAGTTCTTGTGCAAGAAACTGAAAACAATGTGAAAGATTTTCCTTAAATGGACACAGAGCTCAGCCTGGTCTGGGGTTGAAGTTAAAGGCCCCCCGCCCCCCCCGCCCCCCCTCCAGTCTCCGTTTGCCTTCCTTGCATTATTTCTCATATGTTATGCAAGATTCCCCAGGCCCCAAACCATTCACTTTTTCCTGTAATCTCGAGGTGTGCGCAGGGTACATCTCAGCCTCCGACCTCTCTGCTTTCACTTTTGGTTAGTCAGAACCTCCATCTGGCGGGATTTGAATATGAGTATTTTCTGTGGCTTTTCTGTGGCTCCTTTTCAAAGCATTCAAAGCAGTTTAAAAATACAGAATGTTCAGCGATCTGACCAAGAGCTAATGTAAGTACTTATTTGGGGACTATTTTTAAAAAATTTACTAAGGCAGGTTTGAAACTCTTAACGCTGACCATGTCTTGGAAATAGACCCTAAGATTACAAAAGAAGGTTCGAGAAACATGCAACTATGTCTCCACAGTCATAATGCTTTCCGTAGTGACAGTAGTAGCAAATATAGCACAGTCTAGAAAAACAGAAGAGCTAAAACTCTGTATTTAATATTAAACAGGAAACTGAACAGAGGAGATTGGAACAACATGGTGGGTTTTCAACAAACCTGTTGCCGGGTTTCTCTGTAACGAAAAGTCTAAATGAGAACTCTTATTCTGTTAAGATGGTGAGTTTTCATGAAAATCTCCACCCCAACGTGACCCCTGGAAGCAGGTTCTGTATTGTAAGGTTTTGAAGCAACCCCATTTCCACCAGATCCAAAGGGAGATTTGGAAGCAAATTGAAAACCTCTCCAAGAGTGGAAAAAGCTTTGTACTTTTGTTTCGCTTTTGTGCAGAGCCGCCACTCACCCAACATGTGCATATGAATATTCTTTCTGAAGACCTGGGCTTCATTTTAAGGTCAGCCTTCAATTTCTAGAGAATATAATTTGCTGCTATTTTTAGAGCCTCATGATTGCTCGTAATAACTAATGGAAAAAAAACTCAACAGAGAAATAAATGTGTAACAGCTGTGTCTGCTTAAACTTGATTAAAGGCAGTAAAAAAAAAGTAAACAGAAGAATGAATGTGATAATGGACGAAGGAGAGCCCAGTATCCCTCTCATTGTGAAAAGTTTTACAGACATAACTTGCCCTCCTTCGGAGGCTGGCGATGTCTGTGTTTAAAGTTTACTTTACTGTTTGTCTTGAGTGGGATCAGTGTTGTAGTGAATAATTTATAGCTAGCATGAATGAGCTCATTAGTCACCTTTTCAGACTTTAAATGCGTTTTGTGGTTGTCATTACTGGAGCCTTCTGTTCAGCCGCCGAGCAAAATGACAGTTTGGCAGTTGGCTGCCTTCATGTGGGGCAGCCTGCTCCCCTTCAGGTCTGCGTTGCTTTTATATTTCATTGAAACCTTTCCTTTCTCTCCCGGGGCTGGTCCAGGGACTCTCACATTTCAGATGCCTTTTGCACCCCAAGCTTAAATGAGAAGTTTTTCATGGATTAAAAAAAAAAAAACTTTCAGTTGCGTCTGCCGCAGAGAATGAAGTGGATGGAGTGAGCTTTTTTTCCAGCAACTGCTGTGTATTATTCCCTTTGTGCTTGGTTTGATATTCAGCTTGTTCAGAAGCGGCGAGCTGGGCGGTCGCCGTTCAGCAGCGGCACCGGGCATTCACATAGTGGCGGGCATTTCTGACCAGGGGTCGTCGTTGGAGTTTGGAGGGTGAAGTGTGTTTCAGAGCGGGTTTGCATTTTTACAGTCCTGAACATCAATATGATGTGGGTGGGTGTGGATGAAACAACTGACTCCAGAAAATCTGCCAGGCCAGGTTTCCAGGGCCAAAGAAAACCATGTTTTTCCTACAAAGGGGTGGGTAAGGTGACCTTTTGGGATCACAGCCATCTGGGGGTCCAGACCTTGGGGCAGGGCCATGATTTCTTCCTCAACTCAGTGTCTTCCCAGTCCAGATCCCTGAGAGAAAGCAAACTGTGGCAGCTCCCTGCCTACCGTGCCTTTGGAGACTTGCCTGGGAGGCTGGTATGTGAGGAAGAGCCTGGGCATGCCAGTAGCAGGTGGGATTTCTTAGGAGCGGATGTCATGAGGTTCATCCCTCCCTTTGAACCTGGCCTGGGCAGCCTCCAGAGAGCTCTGACATCCACTCTCTGGGACTGGACTCCATCCCGAAGTCCAGGACACTGTGGCGCGCCCACCTTGGTCCTTGGGTAGCCTCTGCTGGCAACAAGGTGCGTGGAAGCTTGCCTGGGGAGATCTCAGCCAATGGCCTGGGCCTCTGTTCCAAGGTCCCTTTGACGTTTCCTATGAGCAACAGGCACTCATGGCTGCCATCACCATCGTGGGCAGCACCCCCTTCCGGGATCCATATTGTTAGACAGCTGGCCTAGCACTGTGTGAGGCATGTAGGAAAGATGTTCAGTATTCCTCTCTGGAAGACATGCCAACTTAAAAAGGATGCCTGGTTGTTTGGGGGCCAAATCTTTGAAGCCAGGGATAGTCACGTGTCTTTGAGCTCAGAGGAATTAGGTGCTATTGGTGCACCCACAGAGAGACAGCAATCCATTTGGCCACTTCCTTCCCAGCCCCCACCCCTTATGAGACCTGAGCGCTCACATGTACTCATTCCTCACAATTTATGGGCATGTTTTGCTTGCACCTGAATCAAAATATTAAAGGCATATGAGAGATTATTTTGGGAAGGAGTGGGGGTTTCAAAGCAGAAAGTGTTGGTGAACCGCACTATCTGATAGAGAATAACAGACTTCAGGTTTGGCAGTCATAATATGTTGAAAAGTTGCTAATCACCCCCCCTCCCCCAAAGAATTTCGTACAGCAGGGAAATATATTGGTGATATGTTAATCTCTGCAATGTTTCCCAGGGACATCATCAAATTTGTAGCTTTTGCTTTTGTTTTAAAGAGACAATCTTAAAGAGAGGAATTAATGGCTTCTTTCACATCCTTCTGAAAAAGTAAAATGAGAGAAGTTATTTTTTGGCATGGTTAAGCCTTTGGCAGGACTTAGAAACTGAAACGTAAGAGACTGTGGTACTTGGTGTACTCAGTAAAGACAGGAAAACAATTAAAGCTCTTCAAAACTTTGGAGGAGGAAAAGGTTGATCATGCTACTTTTCTTTGACTAATCTGTGTACTTACTAGATACCAGCTTGAGAGAGCAATAAAAAGAAGCATTTTTTTCCCCTAAATGATCAATATTTTTGATTACACCTATGCCACATGCTATGAGCAGAAGAGAGGTAGAAGACAGGATCCTTGCCTCTCTGGGCACTTATAATTTGTTTGATGCTCAGTATCTAGTTGATTTATTTTTTATTACAAAGATATACCATACTGTATTGATTATGACAAAGAAGCTGAATTTTGGCTCTTGGTAAGTAGTGCCTTTTCATTCTCTTCAAAAGTCCCTCTCCCTTCCATCTCCTTTATTTCTTGCTCACAATTTTTCCTCTCTTGAACCCCACCACTCTTATCATTCATGCCCTTGACCCCCCAGGGGGTTCTCCAAGAAAAATTTAAATGCTGTGGACTGACCTGAAGCTTTCCTTGGTTTCTTCCTGGAACCTGACTCCAAACTCTGGAGCCAGTCTGTGTGGGTTCAAATCCCAGCCCCACCACTTACCAGCTGTGTGGCCTTGGGCAGGTGGCTAAACCTCTCGGTGCCTCAAGTTCCTCTTTAATAAGATGGCCTTACTAATAGTATCTACCTCACATGGTTAATGTGAGGCTGAAATGAGGGAATATTTGCAAAGCCTGAGAATACTGCCTGGCACCCAGTACGTGCTATGTTAAGTGTTTGTTAAATACAGTTGATCATTATTCATGTATTCCATATTTGCAAATTCACATCCTTGCTAAAAATTATTTGTAATCCCCCAAATTAAAAAAATGCTCATGGTGCTTTTATGCTCACTTATGGACATTTTGGCAGAATGGCCAAACATCTGAATCGCCCAATGTGCACATTCCCGGATTCCTTCTCACAAAGTGACGCTCTGACTCCTTGTTTCAGCTATAGGCTATATATAAGGCTATATTTAAGGCCATAGGCCTTTTTTCCCCGTGACTTTTCTTTTAAGCCCTAATCGTAGGGCCGAAGTGTTGTTCAGTGTCCTGAGTGCATGAAGGCTGAGTGCCTTGTGGAGAAAATACAGAAGCCTTGTTAGAGAATCTTTGTTCAGATATGAATTATAGCGCTGTTGGCTGTGAATTCCGTGTTTATGAATCAACGATACGTATTAAATAAGGTGTCTTTAAACGGAAGTAGGCTGTGGTTATATATTCATCAATTAACGAAAATGCTGTCACCAGCAGCTCGCAGGTGTGTTTCCCGTGTGTTTCCCCTAGGAGCAATAGTTCAGTATTTGTGAATTCATTGTTTGTGGAGACTTTATAGAACATAACTTCTGTGAGTAATGACAATCAACTATAGATAAATGGAGTTCAAGAGCATAGAGGGGCAGCGTTTTCTAGGGCAAGCTTCAGACTGCCCAAGTCTCCCTTGGAAGGGCAGGAGAGACAGAAGTAATTTTGGCCACGTGGAATGCCTCAGCCGGACACAGATTTTTCTATCAGATCTGGAAAAAAAAAAAAAAAAGATGTAACCACATCTGGTCTTTTATAAGCACAAATTGCTATAAAGAATCAATGGGAAAATAGAGAGTCAATTTTCCCCCTCCTCCACAAATTCTTGAGAGTATTTTCCCCTATCTTTGGACCTATGTAAGAGTTTGTAGTGAAAGTTGGATACTGAAAACCTATAAATTGAAAGCCTTCATACAACCAGACAAAAGACCCCATAACACGGGGTATGATGTGTGTTATACTTAGCAATTCTCCTGTTTGCTCAGAGCACCAGCCTTTTCAGAAAGGAATCATTTTGTCCCTTGTGATTGAAAAGATCACAAAATACTTTAACTTGGTGGAAAGCTTTGCCGATGTATTTCTTTTCCCCCAAACTCTTACTTTATGAAATGTTTGCCAGTTGTTTCACACACATAGCATATGAGAACGTGAAAGTGGTTCTGAATGAGGAAGGCTTTGCTTAAAATGGCTGGAAGATGTGGGGCGCCTCGGGCTCAGTTGGTTACATGTTGGACTTCAGCTCAGGTCGTCATCGCGTGGCTCTTGAGTTCAGCCCTACATCGGGCTCTGTGCTGACAGCTCAGAACCTGGAACCTGCTTCAGATTCTATGTCTCCCTCTCTCTCTGCCCCTCCCCCCTTCTCAAAATAAATAAATAAATAAATAAACTTAAAAAAAAAAAAAAAAAGACTGGAAAATGCAAATGGCAGGGAACACAGGGAGCCCGAGGCCAGGGTGGCCCACAGAATTTAATAATATGCCTGTAGCCTCTAATTTCAGCAATTTCCAGGTTTTCATGATTTAAAACCCTGTCCCAACAAACCCCCTGAATACAATGTTGCATATTCCAGTGCTTGTTTTTTAGTAAGTACTGACTGTCTTCCTTGTGTGTCAGGCATTGGGTTACTGTTTGGAGTTTACTGGATCATGGGGGTAGGCAGTCTGGTGGACACGTTAATAGTCTTCCTATGGTATCTCCCTCAGCCAAATTCTTAGAAGTTGGAAATTTAGGGTCAGTGGCTGAGCTCATTTAAGTTGTAATTGAACAACTGAACCAGGTCACAATCTTCCAGACACCCACACCAATGTTCATATGATCTTTCTTTCTCACCCTCTGCCAATCTGATAGGTGAAATGAGATATCACAATTGCTTTAATTTGCATTTCTTTGTTTTTACTGAGGTGCAGCCTCTTTTCTCGGGTACATGATCATTTTTGTTTCTCTTTTGGTTAATTTGCTCCTTTTCTCGTGAGGGTGATACTTTTTTTTGTTTCCCTCTTTGATTATAAGGGCTATAAATTTAAAATGTTAACCCCTTTAGCTGTGTATGGCACCTATTTCCTCATTTTTTAATCTGTCTTTTAACTTGATTTATGACCCTGGCACTGCACGCAGATTTTAAATTGATATGCAGTCAAATGTGTCAATATTTTCCTTTTGATTTTTTTACTTAACAAAAAACAGTGCTAAGTGCCAGGGCACCGTTATATGTGTTTTACAAATATTAATTCATTTGATCTTCATGAGAATCCTGTGAAGTGGGTTATTCTCCCTCCCTGCCCGCTTTTTTTTTTTTTTTAATGTTTTATTTATTTCCAGGAGAGAGAGAGAGAGACAGTGTGAGCAGGGGAGGGTCAGAGAGAGAGGGAGTCACACACTCCGAAACAGGCTCCAGGCTCTGAGCTGGCAGTCAGCACACAGCCCGACGCAGGACTCGAACCCACGAACAGTGAGATCGTGACCTAAGCGAAAGTCGGACGCTTAACCGACTAAGCCACCCAGGCGCCCCCCCCCCCCTTTTTTTTTTAAGATGAAGAAACTAGGGACGCCTGGGTGGCTTAGTCGGTAAGTGTCCGACTTCAGCTCAGGTCATGATCTCGCGTTTTGTGGGTTCGAGCCCCACATCAGGTTCTGTGCTGGGAGCTCAGAGCCTGGAGCCTGTTTCAGATGCTGTGTCTTCCTCTCTCTCTGCCCCTCCCCTGCTCATGCTCTGTCTCTCTCTGTCTCAAAATAAAATAAAAATAAAACTATAAAAAATTTTTAAAAAAAGATGAAGAAACTAGGTGGAGAGAAAGAAGTTAAGTACTTTGACTAAGGTCAGCCAGCTAGTAAGTAGGGAAGTGAGAATATGAACATAGTCCCAGGTTGTTATGCTAGCCATTAGGCTATAACACCTCTGGCCATGGTATTTTGCTCTGTGTGTGTGTATGCATGTGTGTGTATATATTTACCTGTAGTCACTTCATAAATGTTCCCCAAGTCTCCTAGATCCTTGAGGGCAAGAGCGACACCTCTTATCTTTCCAGGTTCCTTCCCAGTCCTCTCCACACAGGACTGGGCATAGAGTAGATAGATGCTTCACACATACTTGTTCAGTGAATGAATTGGCTAAATCTGAATTCTGGATCATTCCCTCACACTTGTGTTTGTGCTCAAAGAGGAGGTGACAGGCTCTGTGTTTCCATGCTGACTCCAGCAGGTGCCTTGATGAGCTTAGGTTGGGGGAGAGCAGGGGACCTGAACTAATGAACTTTACTCTACCAGTTTGGCTGTACTTTCCCTTACGACACATCCCTCCCTCCCTCCCTCCTCAAATAAGCCTCCTGGCTCTATTCCCTGCTGGAGAAATTCGAAGAAGCCTTTTCCCAGGCTACACCCTTCAGAACCTGTCATGTAAACACACACAGAATGCACAGGAGGAAAACCCAAGAGAGGATGAAGAATGAGCGCCAAGACCCTGGACCGATCCTTGAAACTCTCCAAGAGTGGAGGGCCTTCCAGCTGGCATGTTGGGTCTCTTTTACTTTTGTGCCCAAGGGAAGGAAGTGGGCAGCTTTTTTTTTCTTTTCTTTCTTTCCTTTTTTTTTTTTTACCGTTACAAACAGCATTCTCATATATTATCTCAAAGAGACTTAGTCAACCCACGGTTAAGGGGTTTTCTTTGACCATAATCTTCCCTTTTCTGGTATTTGACAAATCCTCCTGGATTTTCCTTTGAAGGCTTTCCTATGTTCATTTTTTCCAGTCTTGCTGACCGTTCTCTAACTCTCAGAGTGTGGCCCCTCAACCTCCAGCAGCAGCATCCCTGGGAGCTTGTTAGAGATGTGAATCTTCAGGCCACAGCCCAGACCCACTGAATCACAAAATCCAGGGGTGCGGGCCAGCAAGCTGCATTTTAATAAGTCTTACAGGTAATTTTGGTGTACACTCAAGGTTTTGGACCACTGCTCTAATGGGATCCTCCCCTCTTATCATTAGAACATTGTAAATATAATGGGTGCTCATTGTAGAGAATATGGAATATAATAGACATGCATGAAAGAAGCAGACCAAGGGGTGCCTGGGTGGCTCTGTCGGTTGAGCGTCCGACTTCGGCTTAGGTCACTATCTCATGGTTTGTGAGTTGGAGCCCTGCGTCGGGCTCTGTGCTGACAGCTTGCAGCCTGGAGCCTGCTTCTGATTCTGTGTCTCCCCCTCTCTCTGCCCCTCCCCTGCTCATGCTCTGTCTCTTTCTGTCTCTCAATGATAAATAAATGTTTAAAATTTTTTTAAAAAAAAAAAAAACAGAAAGAAGCAGGCCAAGAAAATTACCCCACAACGCTCCCACTCGTAGGGGAATACTACTTTAAATGTTTTATAATCTTCAAAAACACATTTAAAAAAAAATCTTTATTCCCTTTTGTATGGATTCTGGCATTGCTTTCTCAGTACTTCTGTGTGCTTTGGGTCTTTCATTTTGTTTCATTCCTCGCCCAAAACATATCTTATATCCACAATTCCATTTTCTTCTTTTTCTTTTTTAAAAATTGAGATATACTTGACATACAACGTTGTGTGTAGCTTTAAGGTGTCTAACATAATAGATTTGATATATTTACATTAAAGTATGATTGCCACTGTGGCATTAGCTAATACCTCTGTGGTGTCACATTGTTATCATTTCTTCTAGTGTTGAGAACAGTTAAAATTCTAGTCCGTTAGTTTATGTTCATAATACATGTTTCTTGTCAATAATCACTGTACTGTGTTAGTTCTCTGGGACTTATTTATCTACTAGTTCCAAGCCATTCTTCTTTTCAAGCATATTTCTGATAGTATAACTTCCGCACTCAAAAATATTCCATGAGTTCTTCTTGCCCTTTGAATTTGTGCATAGAAACTGCTCATCTTACCATTCGAGGGGTTTTGTCATACGATGTTCCCACTCTTATCCACTAATACTCATGCTCCATAAGGAACAAAACCCTTGCATCTCTGGCACCTAACACAATGCTATGGACATGGTAGGCAGTCAGTAAATATTTGTTCAAGGAAGAAATGCATCTTCTAATACAATCAAGTCATATTCGATAAATCTATACGTGCCATTTATTTCTCCAACATGGAACAGCGGTTTCTGCTGTAGGGCCTTCTTAGAATGTCTGGGACCCATCCTAGAAGAGTCTGGTCCATTAGGTTGTGGCTTCCTGGGTATCCGTAACAGAAAAGCTCAGCTCTAGAATGAGCCTTCCCCATTTCCGCAGGTCCAACACAAACCCATCTTTATTAGATATCCTCCTCCCAAAGTCACCCCCAGTCCTCTGTTGCCCAAAGATTCCACCATGCCCCTGGCCTCAGCTATTAGGAGGGGGTGGCAAGAAAGGAGGAGTCTCCTAAGTCAGGCTCAGCCAATCAGGTTATTTCCCTGAGAATTAAACCTTGTAGCGGAAGACAGAGGCAGTCAGAAGGTGGTGGGTGCTGAAGGTCAAAAGGTTATTTGGACTTGGGGCCAGCAGCCACACGCGGTCATACGCAAGCAGAGGAAGCCAACCTGTAGGCACAAGAGTGGAACAGATACGCAGAGGGAAGTAGGAAAGGCCGTGTGGTCTCAGAGGGAAGGAGAGGGAGGGGGAGAGAGACTGCCTGGGGACGCCCCGGTTCTCAGAAGCCCAGCCGCGCTGCCTGCCCTGGGCCGCCCTGGGCTCCTGCTCATGTATCTTCTTGGCTGGAGTCAGTTTGAAGGATCGCTGACCAGGACACTCGTCTTTGCCCGCCTGCCTCAGAGCCCTCCTCATATATCAAAGTCCCCAGTCTTCTCACCCGCCATGTTCTCTCACGGCTCATCTCTTCTGGTGCTACTGCCTCAAGGAGGATTGGGGGGCTTCACCCTGAACTATTCCATAAATAATCATGTTGGCCAAAGAGCCAGTGATGGGGAGAGGGGCTACCATGTTGCAGGGCAGAGCAGCGCGCTGCAGAAGAGAGAACAAAACATCAAGGGGAGGGGCGCTCTGCAGGCAGGAGGGGCCTGAAGCGCCACACGGACGGAGGGGAGGGGGGAGGAGCGACCCTTGGCGCTGGGGTCCAGGTCTTCCTGCTCCAGATACATGTGTGCCTCAGGCCCATGCCCAGAAGGCACTGTCAGAAAGGTCCCAGCAGGTCCCCAGCCAGGAAATGAATGTTGCCCAAAGTGAGGTCCAGGGCACACGGAGGATTCTGCTGTCAAAACATATTTATAGAACAATGCTTTCGACAGTTCCACCCAGTTCTGGGAGACTTCTCAGGGTCTAAGGCACAAGGTGACTGAAAAGTTCAAGAGGGGAATTGAAAATGGAGTCGTTCCAGAGAATTTGGTCCCTGCACCCTCTTGTCAGGGAGCATGTTCCAGAACTGGGGTTCTACGGGATGAAGAAGTGGAAAGGGCACTCTAAGCCTTCCTTTGGCTTTTGGCAAATACGTGGAACCCTCAGACAGACAGGTAGGCAGACATGAGTAGTCTGTTCTCCACATCAGGCCGTGCTGGTCCACCGCGTCCTCTTGAGAGCGACCCCTCTTGCCACGTTTGTAATGGGAGAGAGAAATTAAGGGATACAGATGGTCCCTCACTTAACGACAGCTCGACACACAATTTTTCGACTTTGTGATGGCGTGAGAGCAATACACATTCAGTAGAAACCAAACTTCAGATTCTGAATTTGGATCTTTTCCCCAGCTAGCAATGTATCATACGATCCTCTCTCAGGATGCCGGGAGCTGCGACAAGCCTCAGCTCGCAGTCAGCCATGCAATCAGTGGGGTAAACAACTGATAACACTACAGCCATTCTGTACCTATACAACCATTCTGTTCTTCACTCCGGTACAGTATTCAATAAGTTAAGATGAGCTATTTCAACACTTGGCATTAGATGATTTTGCCCAGTTGAGGCTAATGTAAGTGTTCTGTGGACGTTCAAGTTTAGCTAGGCTGAGCTGTGATATCCGGTGGGTTAGGTATACTAGATGCATTGTCGACTTAGGGATATTTTCAACTTAATGATGGGTTTATTGGGAGGTTAACCCCATCATCAGCTGAGGCAGGTCAGTATGTCCGAGAATGGAAGAAACCGAAAACAGGCAGAAGAAAGGCAGACTAATAAAAGACAGCTTATCTCACCTTACCCCACCCCCTGCTTAGGCCTTCTCCTGCCCCAAGTCTTACCTGTTTTAAAGGTTTTGTTCACAGTAGGATGGCTGGTTCAGACACTGGAGGCTAAATGGCTTGCAGGGAGAATTTTCAGAATGACATATTCCGCGTACTTGAACCCTGAGGACAAAGAAAGGACCGGAAGGAAAATGAACATGCCACGTCTCTTATTGTAAAGAGATCTCTAGCTCTGGTGTGAGTGTGGTTGGCCATGGGGAGGGCTGGGACCTGATGATGGAAGAGGAGGAGGGCGGGAAGTGTTTCTTCCACACTGGGTGGACAAGGGGCTTGGACAAAGGTCTCTGGCCTTGGTTGCTTTGATGGGGGATTCAGCAGCCTCAACTGCTATGCTGAAGGAGGGTGCCACTTACACTTCACTGGAGCTCAGCCGGGCTGTCGTCACCAGTTCTGACGCTCAAGAGTCTCTAGCGTGAGTCTGCAGATGTATCTAGCTTGCCTCTCTCACCTTACACCTTTTGCTTGGTGAGTTTGGGTAGGTCCCATCAAGTGTTCAGTAATTCAAAGGGGTGGGGCTGGATGACCTCGGGCTTCCCCTGGGCGGCCACCTTGGAATCCTCTCCTGGGTGGTATCTGCCATAGAACTGGTAAGTCATAAGGCCTGTGGGGAGTATCTTTGGGGAAGACTTGCCATCCACCAGTTTGAAGCTTTGTTAAAAAGGAATGACTCCCAGAACCATTGGGGTTTCCTTATTATTATTATTATTTTTTAAAACAAAATACTCAGAAGCCCTTGGGATTTTCTCTTCCCTTTTGGCTAGGTTAAAGGGACTGCAGACTCCAGGGGTTTCTGAGGGCGATCACTCGCGCCCTGCTCACTGGTTTTTCTGCAGCTTTCGGAAAGCTCAAAATGGCCGGCCCGTTGGCTCAGGTGGGCTCAGGTTGGGGGTGGGGGGGGCTTGTCACCTGGGCGTCTCTGTGGAGGCACCTACTGATATGGCTACGTGGGAGTGGTGTGCAATCATACTTTTACTTATGTCACCACCAGGGTGTCCTGTTGGACTCTCCTTTCGTCCTCTCCAAAGGCAGCTGGTTGGTGTGGCTTTAGCAGTGGGTGGCCGTTCTTTGGAGGAGCCCAAAGACTTGGAGTGATGGCCGCGCCGGTCGCTGGGTGGCCCTGCGAATTGTCTGTCGGGTTCCCGGGAACTCAAAATGTGAAGGCGATAAGGCTGGTTCTCGCTCGAGGTTTCTAAGTCGGTCGCGGCGCCCAGCGTTTCCCCACTGGAGAGGCCCCACCGGCGTGGCCTTTAGAACGGGCCTCTGGCTCGCCTGTGCGTAATGGCCACCCTCCCTCCCCAGGCAGACACGCGCCGGCAGACGACGGGAGGAGCGGCCACGGGGGCGGGAGGCTGCGGCGCCTTTGTGCCTTTCCTCTCCCGGGGCTCCAGGTGGGCGCTGGCGGAGGGCCGGGGACTGCCCTGGGAGCCCCGCCGGGACGCCGCAGTTGGGGACAAGTGGAATCTCTTCTCCCCCTCGCAAGTCTCGCCCGCATCGTAATTCTTTTTATTTTTACTTTCGAGCCTTGTAAGGCATGCGGAGGGGGTAGGAGCGTTCCGGCGACACGTTGCCAGCGGCGCAGCGCCCGCCCGCGTGGCCGGAGCCTGGGGAAGGGGCAGGCCGCGCGCCGCCCGCCCGCCTAGCCCCGCCGCCCACGGTCGCGGCCGCCCCGGGTCGCCGGGCCCCCCCGGCCCGCGGCGCGGCCGGAGGCGAGTCCGCGCGGCCCAGGCCGGCAGGGGCCCCGGCTGCGCCCCGGGAGCGTCCGGGCGCGGCGCGCTCGGGGTCGATCGCCGCGCGGGGGGCGCGGGCAGGGGGCGCCCCCGCGGGTCCGCACCCCGGGCCGCCGGCGGCCCGGCCCACGTTTTCCCTCTCTCCGGCTCCCTCCGCCCCCTCCGCTCCGTCCCTCCCCTCCGCGCCCCTCCCTCCCCGCGCTTCCCCTCCTCCTGCCTGGTCATGTGTCGCCTTTTTTTGTTTGCAGTGGAAACAATTTCTCGCCGCTCGGCGCGCCCCGGCCCGACGCGCCGCGGCGGAGGCGAGCGGGAGGCGGGACGGGGCGGGGAGAGCGGCGGGGCCGGCGGGAGGACGCGCGGCGCGCCCGGCGGACGCCGCAGGTCCCATGCCGCGCCGCGACCCCCGCGCCCCTGCCGCCCGCACCCGCGGCCGCCCCCCGCCGCCCGCCGCCCCGGGCTCGCCGCGCCGCGCCCGCGCGTCCGTAGCCGGGCCACCAAGCGATGCCCGCTGGGCGCCCGCGAAACTTTGTCGGCTCCCGCTGAAGGGCTGCGGCGCCCCCGCGCCCCCGCGCCCCGCTCCGGCCAGGTGAGTTTGCTCCCCACTCTCGCCGGCGCCCCAGTGGGATTGGGGTGAGTCGGGGTGGGGGCGCTCGTCCGAGGCCGTCCTGGAGGCGACCTCGCCGCTCTCGGCAGACGAGGGACTCCGCAGTTCCTGGGGGAAGGGCTCGGGGTGGGGGGCCCGGCCGGGCGGGGGGACGGCAGCCCCAGAGCGGGGAAGTTGCCGGGTCCGAAGAGTTTCCTGCCCCGACGTGCGGGCTGTTTCCCGGTGCCTCGATTTCAGAAGACGCCCGAAAGGGGCAGAGTTGGTATTGTCCGCGGAGGACGGGATCCCCGCCGTTCCGGGCCGGGGGAGGGGGTGCCGATCTAGGGGAGACCCCAAGATGGGAAACAGGCTCCTAACAAAGATGCCCCCTCCCCCCAAACTGTGCAGGCTTGGCACTGGCAGTCAGCGTCTCCCGAGACCCCTGAGGCCCGACCCCTCCTCACCCCGACTCTCTAGGAAACCGTCCTTGGGCCCTGGAGAAGTTGGGGGGACGGCGGGCTTTTATTGATGTGTTTTTAAGGCTCGCCGCGGTGCGGCCAATAAAAGGTTTATGACATCTGACCGGCAGTGAAGGTATGCGAGCTCCCAATTGCCCAGTATACGGGGAGCAGAGCAGTTTCCTCGTTGCCTGGCAACGCCGCTGATTGACGCGAAACGCAGCCAATCGCCGCTCCCGCAGGTCCCCTTGAAATGTTTTTGACAAGTACAGTAGACGGGAGTGAGGCGCGTGCGTGCGCGCGTGCGCGCGCGCAGGGGGGTGACCCGGCCCCTCCAAACTCGAGACTGCCCTGCTCGTCTTGGAAAGCTCTTAACTTTTTAAAGTTCACTTCCAACATCTGTTCAGAGCTGGGCCAGTAATGTGTTTGTCAGTTATTTGGAAACCTTCTGATAGCGGGCAAGAAACTCGCTTTCCTGCTGCATTTTCTCCGTTAAAAAGCAAATAAGGTAACAAAACACAGCAAGTCATGTAAAAACAAAAAGAGAGAGAGTGTGTGTGTGTGTGTGTGTGTGGAACGGAACCAATAGCAAACCTAAAAGTTGTAAGGAGGTCACTAATGAATAACTATTTGCGTATCTGGTGGAGCAGATTAAAAATGTTTGCTTAACTGCGGACTCACGTGATCCGGATTCTCTCTGTCTCCCTCTCTCTCTTTTTTCCCCCCTCTAAAATAGGAGGGAAAATGATTTGGCAAATTATGTCGTTAGAGTATAATAATGGAAAACTCCTCAGCTGTGGTTTCTGGGAACTGTTTTTTAAAATGGAACTGTGGTGATCAGCAGCTCTTGATACTATTCCCGCGAAATGCTGGATTTATAAAGATGCAGTTAACAGTTGGAGAGCAGGGGGGATAGAAACACAAAGCAGACAAACGATTCAAGGGCACTGAAGCCACATCACCCTCTTTTCTCGACAGTGCCACTTTTCTAATAAAGCCATATTGCTGGCAATGTTTGTCTAAAACAAAAGAAAACATGGAGTATAGTGTGTTAGTTCCTTTGGGAAGCTACTGACAAATAAGCAAATTGAAAAGAAAGAGCAGCATGTTGTCATAGCAACAGTGCAATTAAATTACTTTACTGTCAGCCATGATATAATTTTCCTGTTTGGAAGCTCAGGAGACAGAAAACTTTCATCTGGAGCCGAAGTTGAATTCAGCGGCTGAGTAGTTCTTCTGCTTTGCACTCTACCGTGTGGATATTCCTGGTTATCAGAAACTTAGGGTTTTTTTTGGTGGGATCTGGGGAAACTTTGAGAGAGACAAGCCTTGCTTTGATTTGTTCATAAAACAGGTAGAAGCATTAGCAGATTGGTCTCTGTCAGAGCCCCAAACCTGAAAGCATTAGCTTATTCTAAATTGTGTCCTGGACAACACAGGTTAGTTTCCTTATTTGAAAGAAAGAAAGCTTCCCTGTGGGTGAACCTGAGGTATGTGAATTGCCCTGCCTCTGTCAGACTTTGATGCCCGAGGAGGTTTTCTCTTCTTGGAGTTGGGCATCTCGTAGCAGCTCCAGAGAGCTTTCTCACGCTTCTGCCCGCAGGTTTGTCTGTCTTCTCTTTTGGAAGAGGGAGGGTGCTGCTGGCCGCCCTTTGGGTGCCTCACATTATACTTTCTAGAATCCCATTCTAGAGCTTCCCCTGCTGAAGTGGCAGTTACTTTCAGCATAATGTCAATGGACATTTAGAGCCTTAGAATGATCGTGTCTGCTTTTGTGTTCATTCTTTTCTTCTAGGTAGATGGCTTGATCTTCTTACTCAGGGGGAAAAAATAAAACAGACATGCTTCTTAAACCAAGCACATTGTGTGAGTGCTACTAGCGGACAGTGGGAGACCTCTTTCATTATCTTCACTGTTCTCTCTGTCTTACATTGAGTACTCGAGGGTTGAATATGCTTTGTATCTATCGGGGTCATTCTGTTGGTGGACTTGCTACGTCCTCATTTTCTTTTCTCCTCAAAAGTTGCACTCCCTGTTCTAGGTCATTGATAAAAATGGGGGTGGCCTGGAGGGGGGGTGCGGAATAGAATTCTCTAGCAATTTTTGTGGATCTGCCTTCCAGTCTTGAAGCTGCCAGTTGCTCTTTGACTTTTGTTTCCCACCAATTCGTGGCTCGTCTTCACATTCCCACTTATTCGTGTCGTGCCTGAAGTTACTCACTTTTCCATTGCGGGGGGGGGGGGTGGGTGGGTGGAGGTAGTGCCCCAGCTATTAAATGTCCTATTCCCCTTCAGTTCCAATCCCCCGAACTCCTGCTTAGTACTCTTTAGACTCGCCAGCTGTAATCACAATTGCAGAGTGTTGGGTCATGACTTGGGGAGAAAAGATACAATCAAACCACGACCAGACGATGCACACTGTGGTCACACTTGAATTCTGAGGCGGTTGTCATGGTTTTCATGTGGCGACAGCTCAACTTAACCTGAAACACCTGGCCTTAAACTTCTAGGCATTTTCTTTTTCGGGGGAAGGATAAACCACGAGACTGTCATAACCCAAAGTGACAGGAGTGGTGCATTGTGCTTACTCTGTAGCGTTTCTCGTGAGGCTTGAAGGAATTTTACCTGTCTCTGTAGTCACATATTTAGAGAAACTGAGGCACCAAGACATAACTGCTTTTCCCAGGGTCCCAGTGAGAGTCTGCATAAATCCGGGAGGAAGGCTTTGTAGATTTCCCATTCTTTTCATGATGCATGTGCATATTAAAGGTGCGGTAAATATTTCCAGTCTTGTATTTTGGAGGAGGTGCGGAGTCACTGTGCCGCAGGCGTGGCGGACACATTTTCCTTAAGGGGGCTTCTCCCTGCGGTGGAGTTGTGGGTTCGTGTTACCCAGCGTGGGAGCCGTGAGATGATGTTCCTGCAGGACCAGGGGCCCAGAGGTGGCAGGGGCGGGAGGTGGGCCCCGTAGAGTTAGGAAGGCACGACGCCTTTGTTGTGAGTGCCACCAACTCCTCTTTTCTCTGTAATGTGTTTACTAGGAGCCTTCACGTAAATGGGTCCAGTCATGCCTCCCAGTAAGAAGCCAGAAAGCTCAGGAATTAGCGTCTCCAGTGGGCTGAGTCAGTGTTACCGGGGCAGCGGTTTCTCCAAGGCCTTGCAGGAGGATGATGACCTTGACTTTTCTCTGCCTGACATCCGACTAGAAGAGGGGGCCATGGAAGATGAGGAGCTGACCAACCTGAACTGGCTTCACGAGAGCAAGAACTTGCTGAAGAGCTTCGGGGAGTCGGTCCTGAGGAGCGTCAGCCCCGTCCAGGACCTGGATGACGACACGCCCCCGTCCCCTGCCCACTCTGACATGCCCTACGATGCCAGGCAGAACCCCAACTGCAAGCCCCCCTACTCCTTTAGCTGTCTCATATTTATGGCCATCGAGGACTCTCCGACCAAGCGCCTGCCAGTAAAGGATATTTACAACTGGATCTTGGAACATTTTCCGTATTTTGCGAACGCACCTACTGGGTGGAAAAACTCGGTGAGACATAATTTGTCGTTGAATAAGTGTTTTAAGAAAGTGGACAAAGAGAGGAATCAGGTAAGCCTCTGTGTCTGGAACGCGAGTGTTTTCTTTTTTAAATGTGTAATTTCTCTCATGAAAAAACATTAAGGAATGTAAATTCACCGCCCCGAAGGAGTGGTTATAAATGGGCGATTTTGTTTCATTCAGTTGGTTGCGAAGAACTTCCTTTTCCTTGAGCGTGTCAGTTACAGAACGTTTTTAGCATTTGTGCCACATTGAGGGTTTCCCACTCTGGTACCCAAACAGAATCCCAGAACCGTGGTTTGCACCCCCCATGGGTTCTTAGTGTCACCCCTCAGTGTGGATGGGTCCCTTGTTGTTTAGAGTGTCAGCACAGGTCCATATTCCAAGGACGGCCACTAACCCTGCGGGATGTGCGTATACATTTGAGGAAGGGTGCTGCCCCAGGCTAGTGAAAAACGGTAGTTCTTTTCTTAATTTTTTAAAAAATGTTTTATTTGTTTCTAAGAGAGAGAGAGAGAGAGAGAGGCTGCGTGAACAAGGGAGGGTAAGAGAGAGAGGGAGACACAGAATCGGAATCAGGCTCCAGGCTCTGAGCTGTCAGCACAGAGCCCGACACGGGGCTCGAACCCACGAACCGTGAGATCATGACCTGAGCTGAAGTCGGACTCTCAGCCGGCCCAGGCGCCCCTCTTCTTTTCTTAATATTAACTTGGGGGAGAGGCAGCCTCCAGGATTCTGGAATAAATGGACAGTAATGGACTTTGGGAGGTGACCAAACAACACACTCCCGGGCTCGACAGACAAAGACATGAATTGCCCAGACGGTTCTCATAAAATCAGGCGAACACATAAGTGTCTGGCAACTTGTAAACACCCCGAGTATGAAAAGTCAGGGTAAGGTCCCCATTAGAGATGGGCTTCAGCAGGATTGAATTCTGACTGTAAAGCCTCAGCCCAAGTTCCCTGGCCCTGCTAAAGCGAGACTGGGGACGATAATTTGCTTTTCCTTTCCTGTAAGGACTATAACTGTGGATACAGTAGCAACAGGACTGACCATTAGGGTTGGACCACAACACTGTGATCTGACTTCTGAGTCCTAGAAAGTAATGCGGCCGCACCGGAAACATAAGCAGAGAAACATTTTCCCCATGGAGCTCTCGCATTATTACTGTTTTTCAGCTCGGTTTCTCGTGGTAGGAACATTGCCTCGTGCAGCTGCCAGTCTGCTTTCCACCCTTTTTGAAGCTCAAGCTCAGGACCTCCTATCGTGCGGGGTCGCTGGCTGTGCAGCGTTGGGACCTTTCTTTCTCTCCAGAAACATGTTCCTGTTTCCAGTAGGATCTTGGGCCTGAGAAAACTCTGCTTGTTTGGGGCTTGGAAGTGGCAAAGCCCAGTTCTCCTTGCTGCAGCTGGACACTTTTATCTGCACATGCTGCTCACGTGGAGTTTATGCTCAAGATGGGGAGCGGGCATGCACGGAAGGGGGTTGCCTGGGAACACCAGGAAAGATGCCCACACTCAGGAGCCTTTGACCTGTGACCTTTGACCCTGGTGCAGGGGCTGCCTGGGTCTGGTGTGCAAATGCGGGTATTCCCCAGGGCCTTAATTTTACAGAACTGTGACGATTGTGGGGCGCTTCTCTTATCCCCGGGGTGTCCACTGCTCTCCTGCCTCCCCTCCACATCTCACAACGGGCATTTGGAGACCGGCCTCAGGACTCGGCCTTGGTGACTGCCCTGCCCCCATTCTCTGAACCAAAAAAAAATTCCCTCCACTCCTGTAAAGAACCATGTCTGTGGTACTGATAGTTTCCACATAGGTGAGTCCTCGTGGTTAGGAGGAGAAAATCTTAGAAAGCGATTCCAGGGTTAGCATATAGAGAAGGAAGTGCTGATCAGGTCCCCCAAAGCCACACGTCCCCGCCAAAGCCACGGACGGGCTTTCACGGCGGTGTGAGCCTAGTGTGTGTGCTACTGCATGCCTGCCTCTGTGTCCGCCTTAACAAGTCAGATCACATACAAGCCATGTAGCCAGTGTTCGCTCTGAAATGTTAAACAGGAGCAACTCCAGAGGATGCAGGGGGACTGGGGAGGATTATTCATCAGCCCTCCGAGCGACAGGTGTGTCGGACGGGGGCCTGTGCACCCCCCACCCCCAGCCCTGCTCTGGGAGTCGGGGTTTCCAGGGGTGGCGATTGTCCTTCTGAACAGACCGAGAGACCACCTGCTGGAAGGGAACCGTTCTAAGGTCACTCGTGAAATGTTGAGTTCTGGCTTCTTACCCACGCTGACCTGCATGGACGACTTTCTGATCACAGGCCCGGCAGTTTTGTGGCTGGGAGTCTGTTCCCATCATTTGTGATTTTTGTGAGAATAAAGCTGAGAGTGTGAGTTTTCCCCTTCTCTCCTCATTCCTTGGGCCACCCTCGGGCCAGCTGGTGCCTGCTTTCAAAGGCAGATTCCCGGGGACTCCCAGACACTGGAGGGCACTGGCACTGGCTCACCCACTTGGGGTTTTCTCCTGTGGCAAGCTGAGTAAATGAGAAGGCATTCTCCTTGACAGCGTTGCCCAGCGAAAGCCCCTTTGGCTGTACAGGTAAACTTGTTTTTTCCCCAGGGGACTTTACTTACTGGTAGCTCCCACACTGAGGTTGGGCCGTAACACAGGGACCAAGCGCACCTGAATGTTGGGGAGAAATACATTCGTTGAAGGGGAGAATGGAAGGCTTGTAAGTGGTATTCGCGGTTTTTCCTTTTGAAAGTGCGGCACCCAGTTTTCAGCTTGACGCGACTGTGAGAATGCAGAATGCTGTGTGATCCTTGTCCCCGAGGGGTTTGGAGTCGGTCCCTTGCAGGGCAACTGCTGGATGGGATGTTGGAGAGGGAACTTACAAGATTGCATCAGACTCACTGGTGGCACTTAGAAGCGATGAACATTTTTTGGCTCGTCCCTGGGCATTCTGATTCAGTAGGTTTGAGGTGGGCTGGGCACAGCTGGTGGTTCTGATAAGCTCCATGGGTGTTTCTGACTTGCAGCCAGATTTGAGACTCCCTGAACTAGATGCCCTTTTGGGTTCTTTCCAAAGCTGAGATTTCATCAGGAACATCTCATGAATGAGTAAGTCGGAGAGAATAGACTGTTTTGCTTCTGTTTCCTCTCTCTCTTTTTTACGTTTTATCTCTTACAGGACTTAAAAAGATATGTAAGGGCTTGAAAAAAGGGCTACAAAAGGTAAAACTTTATTTTTAATCTTTAATCATGAAGAATTTCAAATATACATGTAGAGAGAGCAGTGTGAATGAATCCATATCACCCGCATTGCCCATAACCAGGTTGAGTGGTTAGCAAGGGTTTGTTGCCCTTCATTCATTGTTTTGTTTTGTTTTGTTTTGTTGCTCAAGTGTTTTGAAGCAGATCCTAGATCTCATGTTGTTTTATCCCAACATACTTAGATGTGTGTAAGAACAGTCGCCAGATTCTTCCATAACTTCCATCGCCAGCGTCGCCCCGAACAAAATGCACACTTCCTTGGACCTAATACCAGGTCCGAATCCAGAGATCCTTGAGGGTTTACAGAATACTCATTTGAATTAGGATCCAAATGTGGTTTATGCAGTGCAAGTGGCTGTTTTCATCCACCACAGCCCTGCGCCTCCCCACTTTCTGAGGTCTGTCCTTGTAAAGGAGACCATCCGTTGGGTGGTGAGGTAGAGTGCCCCATATTCTGTCAGCTTCACATGGATTGCATTTAGCATATTCTTCTGTCCCTCTGTATTTTCTGTGAAATGGAAGGTGAGTGCTCAAGGCTGGAGCATGTTCCGGATTTCTATCCCCAAAGAATACTTTACGGACAGCTCTTGTGTGTTCTCCCATCAGGAGAGCTGGTCGACCCCTCCTGAGGATGCCGAACTTCAACTGTGGGTTCACATGGGATCGGCTGTTACCGCCTCTGCAAAGTTTCCCATCAGCTTTTCATCTTAGGGTTTCATCTATGGATGACCTTTGTCCCAGTCAGTCGAGGTAGAGTTTCAGAGTCTGAGATTCAGTGTTATACCCCCTAAATACAGATCTTAGTTAGTACTATGAGATTAGCAAGTGCTGATCTCTCAGGCTACTTGCAAAGGAGAAGTAAAGTGGAGTTCTTTTTTATAGATGGGGGATTATAGTGGTTCAGGTATATGCGTTTCTATTTCTGTGCTTTTTCTTTACTCTCTTCTTACCAACTTACCAAGAAAAATTGTGGTCACAAGAGGGTTTATGAAGGAAACCTTGTACAAAGGTTTGTTTATTCTATGGAAGGCTGAGTGCTTCAGTTTTCATTTTTTTGTTTAGTAATCTCTGTGTGCACCTTGGGGCTCAAACCCACGACCCCAAATCACATGTTCTTTCGACTAGCCAGCCAGGTGCCCTGGATTGAATGCTTTAAGTACAGTTTTAACTTATTAATATGGGGAATTTCTCTTGGTTTAAAGAGGAGTGGCTTAGAAGCCACAATACCTGGTCCTACTTTTGGTGCTGGTCATGGTAGCTGTCTTGGGCCTCAGCTCTCTGATATGTTGGAACAGGAATTTGTAGTTGCTGGGGCTCTTAATTTGGGGTGTTCGGATGTCCGAGGCTCTGCAGACAGCCTGAAATTATTGACAACATGTCCTGTGACTGTGCATATCACATTTTTCCTTGAGGATCCCAAGCTTTTCTTTCCTTTTTAGATTTTTTTTAAATGCTTATTTTATTAGTTTAAAAAGCAGTTACTTTATTTATTTTGAGAGTGAGAGAGAACACAGGTGGGGAGGGACAGAGAGAGAGGGAGAGAGAGAGAGAGAGAGAGAATCCCAAGCAGACTCCACACTGTTAGTGTAGAGCCCGATGTGGGGCTTGGACCCATGAACTATGAGACGATGACCTGAGCCGAAATCAAGAATTGGATGCTTAACCAACTGAGCCGCCCAGGTGCCCCACTTATTTTATTTATTTAGAGAGAGAGAGCGCAGGACAGGAGCAGAGAGAGAGGGAGAGAGAGAATAAGCTCCACACTCTCAGCACAGAACCCA